GCATCGTCAGGATGAACCCACTTGGAAATCTGTCAGTCTGTGGCATAATCTCCGCACTGCGTGCTGTCTGAGGCCTGATGCTGGCCAGGCGAGAGAGAGAGAGAGAGAGAGAGAGAGAGAGAGAGAGAGAGAGAGAGAGAGTTTATTCGCAAATGGCCAATGATGAAGACAGACACGTGTGCAAGGGGCGGATGTCTCCGAGTACCTGCATCGTCAGAGTGAACCCACTTGGAAATCTGTCAGTCTGTGGCATAATCCACGCACCGAGTGCTGTCTGAGGCCTGATGTTGGCTAGGCTTAACTTTTTTTGCCCCCGTCTTGTTTTGCCTCACACACGCACACACAGAGACAGACAGACACAGACACACACAGAGGGAGAGAGAGAGAGAGAGAGAGAGAGAGAGGGAGAGAGATTTTGGTCGCAAACGGCCAATGATGAAGACAGACACGTGTGTAAGGGACGGATGTCTCCGAGTACCTGCATTGTCAGGATGAACCCACTTGGAAATCTGTCAGTCTGTGGCATAATCCACACACCGAGTGCTGTCTGAGGCCTGATGTTCGTTAGACCCCCCACACCCTTCGCTGCCTCCCCTCGGGTCACGTCTCCCAGTGGTAGAGACCCAAAAAATGTATGAGAGGCATATTGCTCCGAGTACGTGGACTGACAGGCTCAACCCACGCCAGACGTGCTGGCTGAGTCTTTGATACAACCCACGAGAAGGGGTGTCTTTTTTTCCACTCTGTAGTTTAGCTCACAAGTGGCTGATGACGGAGACATAGGGCCTCGCTTCAATGCGCTCGAAATGCTCAAAAGATATGAAATATGGCGCCGCATCTTTCCATGTTTTCGCAGTAGATTCATTCTCATTTTGCACATTTTGTGAGTAGTGGAGCGAGGACCGTACTTGGGTGCCACAAACACACAGATGTCTTCAGAAAAGGAAAAGAAAAGAAAAAGAAAGAAAAAGGCAAAAAGAACTGCATTCCCGTGCATCGTCAGACTGAAGCTACTTGTTAAATTTATGTGCCATTTGATGCAGGAACCAAGCGTCAGGTGGTGCTGTCCGAGACCGCACACTCATTCAAGGATTTTCCCTGGATGTACCTGACCGCAATGATGGCTGCTGCTGGGTGCATCTGACTGCAAGTATGTCCAGAAACAAGTAAAACAGCCAGAAATAAGTAAAAAACAGCTGTACCATAGTGTGATTATCCCCGGAGGCTCTCGATTAAACTGCCCGTGATCGTTTTTGCCCGTTCCTTTTCTTTTTTCTTTTTCCGTTGCGTTATGAGTGGCCAATGCACTGTCAGGATGGATGAACACACTCAGAAATGGCATCTGTCATCTATGGGAATAAAATGGGATGATTTATGCACTAAGTGCTGTCCGTCGCCCTTAATGATGGGGAGAGGCTGTCTATTGATCTCCTGTAGGGTTCCTTCTTGGTAATGCGGGCTATGGCTGCACCCACTCTATATGCTATCAGCCCTTAAAATAGCCCGTCTTCGTTGTTATTCCAGCAGCAAATCTTGCAGG